ACAAACACACAAACATAACCCTTTGTCGGTGATACACTTCGCAAACCACTTCAAATGTTGAATGGTCCACAGTAGTCCACTCCCACTTTTGAAAGCGGCCGTTCGATAGTCACACGTTCTCATGGAAGAGGTGCCATGAACGGTGGGATGAATTTGGGCCTGGAACGGAAACATTGTATACACCGGGATACTGTTTGTTTTGCTATACTTCTCCCTCGGATTGGCCAAAATTCATTGTTCATATGTGCCAAAAATGACTGTGGTCCTATGTGCAATAGCTTGCAATGATCGTAGTCAAATAATAACTAAGTAATTTTACCTTTGAAAGGTTAGAACCTACAATTGGAAATTTTTTTGAATCCGCAATGGAGGCATTGGTGAGACGACCACCCACACGAATCAGACCAAGTGTATCAATGAAAGGGTTCAGTTGCTTGAGGCAGCTATGACGTGGGACTAATTTACTGACTTTAAGAGCAGCAATTTCATCAGGGAAGGCTTCAGCTTGAGTTTTCAACAACCCAAAATGCTTTGCCCATTGAAGTATTTCACTACGAATGAAACCAACTATGTTTTGTTTTCGTCGCCTGGAAACAGGAAAACAATTGACAGTGAATCGCTGTACTAATACTGTTATTCTCAACAGTTTCATCCAATTTGAATAGGTATTTGATATCCAAGCTGGATATGGTTGCACGGTAGTTAATATTAATTTTACTGGCCTAAGCTCAGGGAGTTCTGATGGTAAAGTTGGAACGCTGGGTCACACGGTACGTTCATTACTTAACCAAGTTGGTCCAATCCACCATAGTTGCGATGAGGAAATTGAGCCAGCATCTAGACCTCTTGTTATGAGGTCAGCGGGGTTATGATTTGTAGGCACATGAAACCATTGGTTGGACGTGGTTAAGTCGAGGATACGAGCCAATCTGTTTGAGACATAAACTTGAAACAGATTCTGGCTTCGAATCCAAGAAATAACAATAGTGGAATCCGTCCAAAGGTAGACGTCTGAGGGTGCTATGATAATATTTAATAACTTCAATTCAGCTTCAACCTCAGATATCAGCTCTGCTACAAGTAAGGCTCCACACAGCTCTAGCCGAGGGATTGTTGAATGTTGAATTGGAGCTACCCTAGATTTTGAGGTTAACAGATTTACACCAACAACGCCTGCAGTAGTGGTAAACGCAGATAAACGCATTTACTGAACGCCTCTTGTGAAGCATCGCAGAAGCCATGAAGTTCTAACTTAATATAATCTCCAGAAATCACTCTTCTTGGAATTTTTAATTGAGTAAGTAATTGCAAGCTGGAGTAAAATTTAATCCAACGAACTTGCAAATCATTGGGAATTGCATCATCCCAACATAATTTAAAAGTCCATAGTTGTTGTAGGAGTATCTTGCCTTTTATGAGTACAGGGGTGATTAAACCAATAGGGTCATAAACGCTGTTTATGTCTGATAACAAACTGCGTTATGTCATGCATGTTGGCGCAGACCAGTCTTTAACAGCAAAATGAAATGTGTCTGTGGTTGGTTGCCAAAGTAACCCAAGGGTGCTTATCATATCTTCCTCATTCAACTAAACAATGAAATTTGTATCGTCGGTGGCATCAGGTATGCGATTAATGAGCGAACGAGAACTGGAACACCATTTTTTTAAAGGGAAGCCAACCTGATTTAAGATTAATTGTAAACGTTGATGTATTTCAAAACATTCATCCTCAGATCTTCCTCCACTTAATAAGTCATCAGCATAGAAATTCTGAGCAAGGATAAATTTAACTGAACTATCATGACTATCTGGAGAAATGTTATGAAGACAACGAGTGGCTAAGTATGAGGCTGATTTGGTACCATAAGTAACAGTGTTTAGTTTGTACTCTTGCAAGGCTTCATCAGGGCTGGTACGGAAGAATATACGCTACAGATTGCAGTCCTCTGATGAAACTAAAACTTGTCGGTACATTTTAGCTATATCCGCTTTGATGACTATGTTATAAATGCAAAAACGCCATAAAATTTTTATTAAATCTGGCTGCACCTTTGGTCCTCGAAGAAGGATGTCGTTCAGTGATAGACCGGATGAAGCAGCAGCAGACCCATCAAATACTACTAGAATCTTGGTTGTCGAGCTATCCATCTTAAACACAGCGTGATGTGGTAAATAATATGTCGGACCTCGGTAATCATGATCAGCTAATTCCATGTGCCCCAAGTCCCTATACTCATCCATGAATGCCTTGTAACTCCTTGCTAATGTAGCATTTTTGATTAGTTTCTTCTCTAAATTTAAAAATCTTCTTCTAGCCATTGAGCACGAGTCACCAAGATAACTAGGGGTCTTGCTTAAAGGGTAATTTGACTATGAACCTTCCAGAAGCATTTTGAGTATATGTTGAATTGAACATGTTTTCAGCCATGTTCTCTTCGATTCGTTTTGAATTGGCAACGGAGGTGCATAATGAGGGAGCGCTGCTACTGGATAGTGTAGTCAATGATGTGTTGTTGTGTGACAGAATTGGAAGCTTCCCAGCAATCATCCATCCAAAATCAGTTTGGTATAACGCTGAATGCTTTGATAAAGGCCATTTTCCGGGACCAAGTATGCCAAAAAATATATCGGCTCCCAACAGAATATCGATAGTGCCTGGGACGCCAAACTGAGGATCCGCCAACTTTTCTATGATGTGATCAGGAATGTTCAGAGTACTTTGATTTATCGATTTGGTGGGTAATGCTGATACAATGACTGGTAATGTGTGCAAGGTAACATCGAAGCAATGTGGACCAAGCTGAGACGATATGATTGTTGTTGAAAAATACTTTGCTGAGGAGTTCATGGACCCAACGCCAGTGATGCAGAAATCATTCTGATAAAAGCTTAATCCTAACTTCTTGGCAAAATTTTGGTCAATGAAGTTTAGCTGTGATCCAGAATCTAAAACAGCGCGGCATTTGTATCGTTGACTATTGTTGTTATAAATATGAATGATAGCTGTTGCAAGCAAATCAGTTTCTTCTGAATGGGACTGAACTTCCTGACTGAAAGCAACTATGTTATCATTATTTTCAGCGTTAGGATCTTGGGCAATGACTGGTTTTGGAATTTGACTAACTCCCTTGTCTTCGTGTAGTTTAGAATTGTGGCGTAATCGATACTTCAGGCAATTAGGAAAATAACATGATTAAACGCGATGCCCCGCATTTAAACAATTGTAACAAAGCGAGAGTTTTGTGGCAGTCTGCCGTCGGTCATGTATTGGTAGTTTATTGAATTGATCGCAAAAATACAGTTTATGAGGAGCAGAACAAAGTGGACATTTTGTCACTTTGACATTAGATCCCTGCGTGAAGAATGATTTGTTATTATGGTTTCATAATTTTATATTTGATGATTTGTCTGTTGAACAACTAGAAATCATTCCAGCTTCATACGCAGACACTCGCTTAGAAAAGAACAATTCCATGCTGGCATAAGTTGGTAATTCCTTGGTATCCTGCCTCAATTGCCATTCACTAGAAGTTGTTGCATCTAGCTGCCCACAGATGAGTGTCACTAACCATGCATCCCAAAACTGTACTGGCTGTCCCAGGGCTTTGAGTGCACGGACGTGAAATGACACATGGTGATGTAAATTTCTTAGTTCCACGGTTGAAGCAGTATTAACTTTAAGTGACTGTAACAAGGCACGTATATGAGATTGTATTGTAAGGACCTTATTCTCATACTGACGAATGAGCTCATCATAAGCAACCTTATGTCAGAAGCAGTACCAGATACACTCGTTTTTAGGTAATGAAGTCTTTGAACATCATTAAGAGCAGTGTTATTGTGAAATAGCGCATTAAATGTGTCGATAAATGATGACCAATCTTCTAGCTTGTCATTGAAAACTGGAGGCTGTATTGTTGGAAGTCTGACTGAGTCACCCACAGATAAGTGTGAAGTTGATGCCACATTTGTGAGATTATCATCAGTTTGTTTGGCGACAAGTTCTTCCATTTCAGACTTTAATGTGTTATAAGTATTTTCAGCATGCAATCGTTCATTTTCATCATCCTGTTCTTGTTTATATTCTTCACCCAGATCTATAATATGATCTTGAACTGAACTTAATTTATCCATGAGTTCATTTAGTTTTGTGATGCGTGTTGAAACTTGGCGAATGGACTGAACTGATGGATTGAAAGTCTCCATATAAGTTTTTATAGTTTCAATTGATGACTTCATAGAACTTCATTTCTCTATAAGTTTTTTCAATTCTGCTAACCGAGCCATAACAGTATATTTCCTTCAATGCGATGTAACAGCAACCTTGTGATATTATGAATCACAAAATATACAAATCTACTTGATTGGCAGAAGTAACAATACAGTTAATAGAAAATATAATAATACTAATTAACAATTGACAGTAATTAAAACAAATGAAACTATAATATTATAATATCACGCCGAGGTCACCAAAATGTTATCGTTACTAGCGTTCAGAGTTAATACAAATGAAATAATACTGAATTCGCTTTCACAATAGGTTAAATAATGAAATAAAATGTAATACAATAATCCAATATTAATTAATATAGTATATGCCTCAGTTGGCCAATGTATAAATTAATGCAATAAAAAATGAATATAAAAAATGTGTGTATAATGTATATGCTTTATTAGCCCTAAATGTAATAATATAATATAAATGTGTGCTTGATTAGCACTGACTGGTGTAATGAATATAATGCACAATGTTATGTCTTATGAATAATTTAATTATAATATAGTGGGCCTCAATAGGCCAGAATATACAAACTAATATAACATAATAAATAGGCCTCAGTTAAACAAATTAATATAAATAAATAGGCACTTGGCCCAGGATATAAAATGATATACACAAAACTACTCACAAGACACAATACAGGTAGTTACTTTAAGCGGTGGATTTCATCCCACGCAACCGTGCCGGGGACGTATGTATAATAATAATACAAAAAAAGAAATATAAAATAATGACAACCGCACACGTGCGACCACTTAAAGGTAACCGCTGACGAGTAAATCACAGTCCACAGGAACAAAAACCACAAAGATGAGATGAAATGACCTCCCTGCTGGGAAAAGTATACTATAATAATGGTAAATAATATGAATTTAGGAACAATACGTTACTCATTTAATTATACTGGAAAGTTTGATGAATCTTCCAAACGACTTCGACTTACGGCATGAAAAACGGCACATGTGCTTTTTAACAATATATATATGAATAATAAACGATGGGCGTCTTCAGGCCGAAGAAATATAGAGAAAAAGGCAGCATAGTTAGTGCGTCCAGCCTTTTATAGACTTTGCTGCGGACAGTGTCATCAGGATACAATAAAATAATACGTTTAGCACAAAAATTGATGACACTGCCGCACAGCAGAAACACTATAAAAATCTATGAAAGCAAAATAAAGATAGATCGAGTGGAGAAGACCATAATAAATAAGAATATACGAAAATATGAAATTTGAAAAATGAAAAATGAACAAAAAACGACTATCAGATAACAGAACTCAAGCTGATAATGGGAACGGTGTATGCGACAGACGTGCCACAAGATCGCGCTGCACTCGCGCGAACACTTACAGTGTCATGTTTTTTGTAGTGATTTCAATTCATATGTTCGAGAGCGTTTTGTGTTATTTTTTAAATGATTAATACAAAAAAAAATTCTGTAAGTACTTTATAATAGAATATTATTATATTATTATCATGGGTTTAATACATAGCATAATATTCAAATGGCCGACACGAACGTCTATTTGAACTCACTACGTATACAAAATAGTCGTAAAGAGGGGATATCTGACGGAGCGTCTGTATTTCCGTGAGCCGCATGCGCGAAATGGTCCAGGTCTCTTGACGAAAGGAGTATACGATTAACCGCTGCATTCATTTTGTTTACCTGTGGCGACTGGTGTCATATTGGTCGGTATCGTAAGTTAGTTCACCAATTTGGTAACTCCCTTAAAGTCAAGTCAAGAATAATCAACATGGACGTAAGAGTAAGTATCAACACGAGTTCGAGTATATCGCAGTAAAATAATAACACGTGTTTTTACTGAGACCGGTTCCGTCTCCGTCTTTGTAACTCGGTAAGCGTTCTGCCCGCTCAATTTTTCTCTCTTAGTTTAGTGTTTCAAAGCGTCGGTTCTAATCCTGTTTGCCGACTATTTAATTGTTTTTTCATTTGCTGCTCGCAATATCCTATTTCGCAAATAACTATCTGGCTATCTCTGCCTTATCAAACAATCGAGGTTTTCGAAAATACATCAGTGGTGCAAATCCCACTACCCATGGCGTCGTCCGTTCGTGATACCGAATAGAAACTGGTTGAAACGATAGAGAAATATATCGTCGCCCGATGATAATATTCATTTAATCATCCACACACTATTGAAATCGAACTAGAAATTTACTTCCATCATTGATTCACCTCAATACTGTTGACACAACTATGACTATTAACATTAATTATATTTGGCACAATAAGTCGTCTGACTTAGGACGACAAACAGATTTTATTAGTTCATAATCGTGTGATTGATACTAATCAATAGTGGACCGGGTTGGCTTAATATTATGTTTGTATCGTATAACGTTAAACGTTTGCAGAGTACTTAAAATGAGAACATTTTAGTACAAATTTAAATTTTTTTAGTTTTTATACCAACTATCAATGCTAAAAAAATGTCATGTATTATAGGTTGCTCCTGAACCTGGTTCTCCAATAACGTTAACAGTCATGGGACCAGGTGAATATTGTACTCAATTTAGAATGAAAAATACATGTCAATTCAAGAAATTAATGATAGCTTATAGCAATGTAACTGTAAGTATGAACTATTATAAAATATTTACTATTGCAATTCTATCCATTATAATTCCAGTTACTGACTTTTGGAATAAAAGACCATGTAAATAGTAATAGATATTTGAAATCAAAAATTATTTATAAATGGGATGTATTGAATCAAGAATTCATTTAGGCATCAATTACATTGTGAAAATTTACTCACTGATTATCAGCAAACAAAGTAAAGACATTAAACGTCAAAATTAAAATATTAAACCATTTAAACTCGCTTAGTCATTACTACTATTAGTCGTCGGCGCACTAGAAATGTTTATAGCCATTGTCGTATACTCCGATTACTTTAACGTACCTACTCAATTAATAAAAAAATAATATCATAAGCACATTTAATAAACACTAGTGTCTGGTGGTAATTGAGTCACACCATCGCCATCACTGACAACACATTTGTCTAGTTTAGTTCTTTGATTTATATATTATAGCTTAACCTAGTTTTTGTTTTGCTACATCTGCTAAAACTTACTGACTAACTTAATTCTAAGTATTGTTACATACATTTTTACTTAACATAGTAATATTATTATTAACTATTTTTACATTTATGCATGATACAACACACCCCAATAAAACATAAAATATGTCCTCAAATTTTAAAATAATTACGATAGACAAAAATGAAATTCAAATGATATGAGTTTTGTACATAAAAAGAAATTGAAGTTTATGCTATTGCGTGGTCAACGAAAGAAGTGTTTTTATGTTTATTGATCTTCTCCCAAAGAAGTGGTTGTTAAATATAAATTTAGTAATCACCATCCAAAAAAACTGTTATCATTGGATCACGTGAGTTGTTATGACTTGATGTTTCGATTGGTTTAATATTTTTGTATTTTGGTGTAACTGTGATGAACGGTGGATAGTGTTTTGAATTTCCTGATCTGTTATTTTGTCACAATCATTTAATCATATTGAAATTATTATTAATGCCAAGGTTAAAAAGAATTTTGTAAGCCTGTGCAAATATAAACATTATTTATAAAAAAAAAAAACTACAAGCCCAAGTCAACCATAAGGGTGTAAAATAAATAAATGACAACATACCTATAAACGATAAAAAATAAAAACAATATTTTTAACTTTTTAAACTTTTGTTTACAAATAACAAAATGTAGTTAAAGATGCTACAAAAGAAAGGTGTTATTTAAAAGCTTTAACATAATATAATACTTTAAATGTGTTATCACCATAATTTGCTTATACACTAACAATTTAACAATCTAGGTATTAAATTAATAGTTTCATTTTGAAATGAGAAGTATGTTGCATCAACAAAAAAAAAGGTACAATAATAACAATTTTTGTTAAATTTTAAAATTTAAGTATATTATAAATTAAATATATCAATATAAATTATAACTATATAAGTAACTATGTAACATAAATACAAAGATATTTTCTATAAGCATAGCTTGTGTTGAGGAGTTGTAATTGAATTCAATTATTGAAAATAATAAACATTTATAAAATATAGTTAAAAAATTACATTAATTTGTGATTAATAATAATAAATTAATTTGGGTAAGATCAACATTATTTTGGGACGATTTCAAATCATTTATATTATTCAAATTATATTTATTTATCTTAAGTATTCTACATCATTTGATTGCAATTGAAATAGATTTTTTTCATGCAAAAATTTCTGTGGTAAAGAGATACATTTAAATTAATATTTGTTTTATGAAAATGTATTATAAATATGATTAACATAAACAGTATTATTTTTAAATGTATAAAAAGGCATTCTTATAATATAAACATTTAATATTAAGTAGATTACAAACATTGTGTACAAAACTCATTGTTGGTAAGCTTAGGTATATTAAATATAAATTTGGTTAGGTACTTTATTTAAAGTAATATTTAAAGAATGAATATAAGACTCTTAGACCCCAAAACAAAATACCATAGCATGATATATACCAAAATTTATAAAGCTAAAGCAAATAAATTGTTCGAAAAGTAGTTGTAAAATTATTATTAATATGATAATTCCATTAAAATGTACTATCTAAATTGAGGACTAAATACTTAATATAATTTCTTTTCTTTAAAATAAAGGGTAAGTCACCCATACATGTGTACATTAATGTTGACATTTTGTATGTCGCTACATAAGTTTCTATTCTCAAAATATTCAATAATGCAGTATAGGTAGCTGTTAAAGTACCTGTTTACCAAAATATTAAATGCATATGGCACACACACACCAAGTCCAAACTCGTTTCACATATTTAATACCTAAGCGATAAGGTAAATCTAAAATTGCATGTATATTACTTACATACATGAAAACAAAAAATAGCGTCTTCACGTTCACATGTCAATACAAAAACTCGTTTTCACAAAAATTATGCCAAGGGTTAATATACCCGGACAAACATGCACAAAAAATAAAGTAATAACATTAAAGTAAAGGTACCAAACCACACATTCACTCACAAAAAAGAAATCAAAATTAGTGTACACACACAACCGCAATGGTCATAGAGTAATGAGCCACAAGTTGGCCTCCACTTTGTCATATATGCTGATTACTTTGATGTATGCAATAAACGAACAAATAATATTATAAGCATATTTGATAACACTGGGGGTAATCGAGCCACACGATTACCACCACTGACCCCACATTTGTCTAGTACTATGACTTATATTATCGCTTAACCTAGTTTTTGTTTTGCTACATCTGCTAAGACTTAATTACTTAGACATAATACTAAATATTCTTAAATACATTTTTACTTAGCCTACTTAATATTATCAATATTAATAATTTTAATATTTATGCATGATAGAACACCATGGAACACCATGCCCTTATTTATTACAAGTGTCTAACATTTTAACTGCTAACAAGATCAAATTTGCATTCAACTGCAGTTTTGTTAGTTTTAATATTAGTGCTCAACATTATATTATTGGTGATAACACCGTCTATTGTTTTTATTTGTTAAAGACGTTGAAATTAATGTAAGATTTTATATGCTAACATCTAGCTTTCGAGATTTAAATATTGTTTTGTATGTTTATTCACAAATATTAAAACTAAATATTTTTTATGTGAATTACTAAACGTACATTTTTTGAGACACTAACTTGTGAGACAAAGACAACAAGTATGTGGTATCCTTTAAAATGGTGTACTAATACAGGAAACATTATCTATGTTAGATTGTTAATAACAAGTTATCATATTTAAAAAATGCTTGTCATTTTGACTTTAAATATCAGATATTTTTATTTATCTTTACAGCTAATATTAACTAAGTGTTTGTGCTAGTTTAATGCTTATATCTTAATTTTGTTTAATTCATTAAAAATTGTTTTATTTTAGAGATTGATTCTTGAATCATTGAGATTTCAATTTGAAGGAGATATAATTAACGAAACCGATACCCCATATTCAAAGAATCTTTCTGACGGGGATATGATCAAAGTCTTCCAGCCAATGGACTAAGTATTTATTTTTTTATAAAATAAAAGATTATAATTTATTTATAAATCACATTATATGTAATTCATCTTAATACCATACTGTTATCTACAAAACTGACTTTATTAATTAATTGTACATTTAAATAATTCAAATTTATAATCAATGACGACTAGAACGATTTCAAGAATAAACTACATCAACAAGATAAATGTGAAATGTATTAAATAGATTTAAAATATTTAATAAATACTTTATGTGTAAACTATTTAATTTGTAAATGATATTATAATTATTGTGATTATTAAATAATTTAATCCTAATATTAAGAAAAATTCTATCAACTGAACTACTAAACGTACCTGCATTTTGTAATTTACTAATTTGTACAAATAAATGTAGTTTTTTGAAAAACAAGAATAACATAGTTAGCAGAGAACTAAATAATCAATTTTTAACTACTAGTATTAACAAAGAAAATTAAATATCTACTTACTTCAGCTGCTTTAAAAAAATATTCCCAAAAGCACCTATTTTGATTATTGTTGTCTCAAGTCTTCAAAAAAATTAAAAATAATCCCAACGCTGTTTTTTGTCCATCTAAACATAATGAAAAATAAATTTAGTAGTTTCAATATAAATCAACAAAATAATGTAGTAGCACCTTTTCTATTGGAGCTTGATCACAGATGAATTTTTTTTTATTATTACTGTAAATTGGGGTGCAATGATGATGGGGCGAGTGACTTTGGTAAACTTGAAATATTTTATTAGATTATATATTGCAACTGCACTTCATGGATATAATTAATTTTTTTTCTCATGTTAGTAATAAATATATTAAGCCTTATAATGATAATAGTGATGTTCCAATTTATTATAAATTATTTGAACTGTGAGTTGTTGAATGAAAAATAACAACATTTAATAATTAGTTGCACAAAGTATACTTTTATATTTACTTCAATAAATTATATCATACATGCTTATCTTTATGATTCAAATTGTATTATAATATGATTTTCTTTCAATATCTTATAAGCAATTTTTTATTGAGAGGTGACATAAATAGTAGTGTTGGGGTGACTTTATTAATCTGATGTAGGCACGAATTATTTTCATCTACAGAGTGATGATAATTTGTTATTGAAATTTATAACCGTTATAAACTGTTAATGCTATTTTCCACTGAATATTTCAAAACTGTTCTAAATAATCAAATAGGTATGTTAAGTTAATACTGTTATCACACACTTATATCTCAAATATGAAGATGTTTGTTATAAATTATAGCCAATCTAATTAAAAATGAAAATATTAAACAAGATTCTGAACTGAAGTTTTATGAGAAAAATAAAAATAAATACCAGCTATTTGTTAATAAAAACTGTAATAACTCCTAACAAATAAACAAAATAACAAACTTTATTTAAATAACAATGGTTTCAGTTTGTCATATGTACAAAAATGAAATAAAAGGTTTGCAGTCGGCCATATAATAATAGTACAGACCAAAGACAATGTAAGAATTGATAATTTTGTATTACTCATTAAATTTCCAGTTAGAAAAAAAAAGCGGGTAAGTGGATGTCCCCCTGCTGTATATTAGGTGTATAAGAGGTCGCTGTTATGGATGGTATTAAATATGAATTCAATGATATCCAATCATTGGATATGAAAAACGATTCTGAGCGGAGAGGATATTATGTCAGTTTAGGATATTTTACATTGTTATTACTTATTATTAATACGATAGCCTGTTAGTTGAATTAATATTATACTTAAATTATCAGTGATGCTGGAAAAATATTAAATATACCTGTGTAAAATTGGGCTGTTTTGGAAAAGAATTACAACAAAATGATAACCATTATTCTCTGTACTACTATTATAATTTGAACTTAAAATTTCTGTAAAACATAACTGTATTCATACCTATATTTTTTAGATTTATTAGTTATGGAAAAAACTACTTAAGTGGAACCTTGTTTTAAATTTTCAATCCCTAGCTATACAAATTGAACATTCTATACATTTGTAACTATAAAATCATTTTCAATTTTCAACTTGATAAATATTGTCAACATTTGAACTTTAAATGCTTATAGAAAAATATGTATTTTTAATATTTTTCAACTGCCATTTTGACAAGTTATCATAAGCCTTGTATTAAATTTTTATGCTTTTTAACCCAACCAATAAAATTGTATTAACATTTATACAAAAAAAAAAATGGAAATGTTCATCGTTTGAAAACTAAAACAAGTCAGAATATTTTGAAAATTGTATCATATATATGAATTGATGAAATAAACATTCGGTGTAAATTTAAAGTGTCTACAGTAATTGGTTTTTGAATTAATCAACTTTTTTTTAAATTTCCATTAACAACAACTTACAAGGAACCTTGCATTACATTTTTAAGTTTTTTGACAGATCGAACATTTTTTTATCGACTTGGGTTTAAAAATAACAAACAATAATCGAAAATGTAATTTACCTATAAATAGTTCAACACAAATCAAAATATTTGGAATATTTTATAGTGTATAGAAAATGCTTACACAAATATTCAGTGAAAATTCATGTATCTACGGTCATTTTTGTTAGAGTTACTACACTAAAAACCAAAATCGATTTTTTCAAAAAATGTTTTTGCGTCAAAATTCTCGTTTTTCCTTAATTTTTTGTGTTTTTCCTGTTGCTTTTGAAAACTATTGGGAGATTTAAATGTTGACCTCCCGTATGCACCAACAATATTCACTTTCCTACCAGAAACGGTACGGTTTAAGAAAATCGAAGCACTTTTACTGCAAGAAACCGTGATGACCGACACAAAAAAAAAACTAAATATAAAAACACACATCGCTGTAAAATCAATACATTCATCGCTCCGCTCAGAATCTAAAATGAAAATAAATCTTATATGTATTATAAGCAGCTGTAATAAAAAATAATAAAAAATAAACCTTAAAATATATACACTAAATGGACTTGAATCATTAAATGATAAAAAACAAAATTTTAAAATCCATGAGAATTATGTGTTGATATAATGTATATTTTCACAACCAGTCTCTGATATTAGAGAGACATTTTAAACTTATGCAGTGGTGTGCTTAGATTTTTTGAATGGTTAGAGATACGAATTTCTAACCATTTTCAGACCGCGTTAAATAGGTAAATAGGTTATAGGTATACATACTTCCATGGCTTTATCATAATATATATTTTAAAAGACAGTTTCAATAGGTTTTAGTAGCTTTCTATACAATCTAAATATTAATAACTAAGCTGGAGATGATTTATTATAGCAATGTTACGACGTTATAATATGGTTGATTCTTCAATAAGTTGTAAATGAACAATAATATAATATCTTTGTCAATAATACTTACGGGTGCACGTATGTAATGTGAAACTCAATTTAAGAATGTTTTTGCCTCAATATTTAGTAACAAATTAGCAATATAGACTTTAATTAATATTTAGTTTACACACTATATACCTACTAAATTATGATTAAAAAACACAATTCTTACAAATTATTATATATTTATATATCAACATTAGATTAAGTAAAAAATTATTTATTATAAATTAGGTTTGTTTAATGCATAGATAATGTTAAAGTCTTTTAATTTATCTATATAAACATATAATAGTGCTATTATTAGACAAAGTTAAATAAAATCGTTTTACTGCAGATACATACAAAATACAAATACGAGTAGATTTTTAGATTATTGACACTCAGTTTTCTTCGATGAATGTATTGATTTTACATTAATAACTATACATGATTAGTGATTACACGACAACACGTCAAATTAATGCTTCAGTTTTTGACTTCAGGGGTGGTTTCCCGTTGAAAATTTAATATCCTTAGAGCAATACGGAGATTAAAATTAGAAAAATCCTAGTACTTTTTAAAAGCATTAGGAAAAACATAAAAAAAATGGAAAAGCGGCAAATTTAACGCAAATCCAGTTTTTGGAAAAATCGATTTCTTTATTTCGCTATAACTCAACATCGAATAACTAACACTGCTCGAAATTAACACTAAATGTTTATATTGCGTTATCTATACTTACACGGTAAATTTTTCAAAATATTTTCTCATTTTTTTTAGCTACTTTTTTATAAACAATTGAAATTTTCGATTTTTCTGATTATTTTTTTTTTTTTTGAAATGTCGATAAAAAAAATTGGCTGCTATTTACGAATTGTATTATTGCAGTTAAAAATAACTAGAAATCGTAAATCACAATTTTTTGTTTTAATTGTTTAAAGTTTAAATTTTTGCGAAGAATGTCAAGTGAAATGTCTTACTAATTTTCGAGGTTTTAAAAATGTATATCAATTTCAGTATTTATACTTATGGTTAACAAATTCAATACACGGTTTTGTGTAGGGTGTAGGCCAACTTCATAATATTGAAAGCTCATATCTGAGCTTTGGAGGACAATAAATTCTAGAATGGACCTGAAAGAAGAAGCAAATTAAGACGAAACTTTAGATACCGTTTTGGACGGTTTTGAGTAAGTTAGGTGGAATTCTTGACGTTACCCACCCTTGAATTGGGGTGAAAGGAATAACGAGCAAATTTCGGGAATGGACTCTCCAGTTCAAGTAAGTTACCTTTTACCTGCAAAATGAGGCATAGATTTTGAATGGATTGTGCGGCGTAGGTGGACCAACTTCATAGACGTAGGATTAAATTATGTATAAAATTTGTGGTTATGAATGGTAAGTTTGCGGTTTTGAACGGAGCCCGTCCACACGGCCGCCATATACTCAAACCGCAAAATTATTATGAACAACTTACATTATTGAACGAATCTATTTCTACAAATTAAATTTTACACGTAATCATTAGCACCAAAAGAACTTTATGGTAGATTATCAAAAAAGATTTTTTTTTAAGTGTCCCGTAACTGCATTTCTACACATACTAGTTTCAATTTTTAAGTATGATTTTTTCTAATTATAATTCAACAGTATTTTTCTTCCTAAATAATAGTACTTACGATGCACTTTTTTACACCGTTAAGAACGCAGTAACTAGTTCTAGCAATACACTTCTGATTTGATGCTTAATTATGTAAATTGTATTTCTAAATTAGTTATTTTTAACGTACCTACCTATTAAGAAACACGATCTCATCATAGTTGACAGTCAATTGGACAAAAACGTAACATAATATAATTTGTATGACTACAAACATAATTATGATTTGCTACACTTGTCTGTTGTACAAAAGTATG